TGTCTGCTCTGGCAACTGACGTTTTCTTGAATATTTTCACAGGTGCTAGAACAACATAATCTTTTTTACACAAGCACATATTTTAAAGGAGCCTACCAACAACAGGATCTAGTGCCATTAACATTGGACTTCTGGCTGTACAAAATCATGGCCTTTGGTGATCTCCTAGATCAGGTGGGCAGCACAGGACGCTTCCAGGTCCTACATGTGACCCTCCTTAGCATACCTGTCCTGATGATGGCCAGTCACAACCTGCTGCAGAACTTTGTGGCTGCGGTGCCTCCTCACTACTGCAGGGCGCACACAAACCTCTCTGAGTTCCAGCTGAGCCCAGAGGAGACACTGCTGATCACAGTACCATTGGACCACTCAGGGAAGCTGGAGAGATGCCGGCGTTACATTGCTCCACAGTGGCATCTTCTGGCCAAGAATGAAACCTCCACTTCAGGGGAACAGAGAGACACTGAGGACGGTCTGGGTGTTGATCTGCAGGGATGCACAGAAGGATGGGTCTATAACATGACTGAGATGAAGTCCACAATCATATCTGATGTAGGACTGCATCACTCAGTTTTTTTGTTTTAGCTTTTTCAACTTTATTCACAGTGCAAACGTTTATAAGTCTTATCATGTGTGTTAACTTGTGTTCATTTGTTGCAAGTGGAATTTGGTGTGTGATATGCGCTCTTTGAAACAAATGGGACAAACTATCTACATGGGAGGTGTGCTTGTGGGAGCTCCTATTTTTGGAAGTCTTTCTGACAGGTAACATTTAATTGTATACAATTGTTTATGTTACTTTTCCATTGCATCTTTTTAATGTGCTCATCTAGTATTATAAGTTGTTCATATGTGTGTGAGTCCAACGGGTTAAGGTTATGTGATATGCTATAGTCTGTCCTCATTTTATGGGAACCTACCTGGTCCCTAGATATGGACGACGCATCCTCCTGCTCATTTCTTACCTGCTGATGGCGGTGGCAGGAACCTGTGCCACTTTCTCCACCTCCTTCCCCCTCTTCTGCCTGTTCCGGTTTGGCTGTGGCATGGCTCTGTCTGGACAGGCACTTAACACCTTCTCACTCAGTAAGTTATTTAGTGGGATGGACAACAATGAGTAAGTGTGGATGTAGTCAACAGGCCTGTCACTTATTCCAGTACAGGGGCATGATGATGTCTTCTTCTGTAATTTTTTTCATTTCCAGTTCTGGAGTGGGTCCCCACTCGTGTGCGAACTGTGGTGGGGACCATGACAGGTTACTGTTATACAGTCGGGCAGTTGCTCCTGGCATTCATAGCCTACTTCATCCGGGACTGGAGGTGGTTAACTCTAGTGGTGTCTTTGCCCTACTATGTATTCTTCCTCTACTCCTGGTGAGATGCCCAGTACTGAACTGCAATAAAAAGCTATTGTTGCAACTGCAATTATTGAGTTTAAAGATGTAAAGACATAACAATCAAAGATGTTGTTATTGGGCAACTAACAAATATCACATACAGGTGGTTCCATGAATCCTCAAGATGGTTAGCCCTGAGTAACAAGCCTGACCAAGCCATCAAGAACCTCAAAAGCGTGGCCAAATATAACAGACGCCATGAAGAGGGAGAAAAAATTGACATTAAAGTAAGGGAATCTGTTTTTGCTATTGCACTATTTGTCTTTATAGCTGCATACCAAATAAATGTGAATTAAAAGAACTCTCTCTTTATGTGTAGATGCTTCAGGAGTCCATGAAGAAAGAGATGTCTTGTTCCCAGGGCTCCTACTCTGTCCTAGATCTCTTCCGCACACCCAAAATGAGGACGATGACAGCCTGCCTCAGTGCTGTCTGGTACATTTCCTGGTCATATTGCACAAAAACTGTTTGTAAGAACCATATATGCAATTGCATTGGCATCACAGATGCCTTTTTTTAAACTTAGGTTTTCAACCAGTTTTGCCTACTATGGTCTTGCTATGGATCTGCAAAAGTTTGGGGTGGACATCTACTTAATACAAGTGATCTTTGCAGCTGTTGACATCCCTGCTAAAATTGTCGGAAATGTGACTCTGAGCTATATGGGACGGCGTCCATCACAGTGTGGCAGCCTTATTGTTGCCGGAGTCACTGTTTTGATCAACTTGCTGGTACCTAGAGGTATGTTATAACACAGGCATACGAGTGTTGCATATACAGTGTGTTTATAGCACTCTAGAGAAACAACATGTTCCACTTCTGTGCAGATCAACAGATTTTACGAACCTGTCTGGCTGTCACTGGTAAAGGTTGCCTAGCTGCGTCCTTCAACTGCTGTTACCTTTTCTCCGGAGAACTGTATCCAACCATCATTCGGTAGGTCTTAATTGTCAACAAACATGTAATTCTCAATTATTTTGTTGTGAAAATGTAGCTTGCATTGTTTAACAAATTATTTTAGTTTCTATCTCATTACTATTTGTTTATGAGCTAGATGAGAGTTTCTTTAGTGGACTTGCATGTTAAGCAGATAAACAAAACTCAGCTGCTATTCAGCTAAACAAGATGGTCAGAGGGTTGACTGGCGATAGATATAAATCAGTAATTAAACAGTCAA